TGCTGTGTTCCTCCAGCTCCAAACTGTATTATCTCCAATTTAATCCACCTTCCAATTTTAATCTTGAGCCAGTTTTCCACATTCTCAGGAAATTCAGCATCCTGAGCTTAACCTCATGTTTTGCATTGGAGCCATACAACCTGGGAGTGCAGCTGAATCCATGGTGGTTTACACACAACTGAAAACTAGGTGCATTATTTAGGCTGACGTTTAGATCGGGAGCTGGCAAAGAAAAAACCAAAATAAGCATATTGTAGAATGAGAAGATCAACATGCAGGGAAGTACAGTGTGGTACATTTCCTGACTGAACCTCTGCTTTGCCACTAACTACACTTTCAATCCCTGTTACAATCAAAACAAACCTGTTTTTGATAGTTTGTCCGGAGGGAGGAGGGTAACTTCTTCAGGCTAGGCATCCTTAGAAGAGGCTTTGCAGTGGGGTTAAAATTGAATCAGAGATAGTAGGAACTGTAGGGTCTAGGCCCAAAACGTCAGCCTTTCTGCTCCTTCTGATGCTGCTTGGCCTGCTGTGTTCATCCAGCCCTGCGCCTTGTTGTCTCAGATTCTCCAGCATCTGCAGTTCCTGCTATCCATGTTTTTGATAGTAGTTCAGGTGTACTTTTAGTCAGAATATTGCGAGAAACGGTACTACAGATCTTTTAAATCCTCCTGAATAGTCTTAACTTTTCATTCAATGAATGCAGCCTCCAGCACTTCCTTGGTAATAGAACAGTACAGCACAGAAACACAGCGTGGGGCTGGAGGAACACAGCAGGCCAGGCAGCATCAGAGGAGCAGGAAAGCTGACGTTTCGGATCTGGACACTTCTTCAGAAATGGGGGAGGGGAAGAGGGCTCTGAAATAAATAGAGAGGTGGGGGGCGGTGACCATAGAAGGTGGATAGTGAGGCAGATAGGTGGGAGAGAAGACGGACAGGTCAAGGAGGCGGGGATGAAGCTAGTAAAGGTGAGTGTAGGTAGGTTCCACCTTGGAACCCTACAACCTAATGGTCTCAATGTGGACTTTACAAGCTTCAAAATCTCCCCATCCCCGACCTCATCCCAAGACCAGCACCCCCCGTCTCATTCCAGCCTCCTTGATCTGTCCGTCTTCTCTTCTATCTGCTCCTCTATCCACCTTCCATCATCGCCTCCCCCTCTCTCTATTTATTTCAGAGTCCCCTTCCCCTTCCCCTCCCCCATTTCTGAAGAAGTGTCTAGGCCCGAAACATCAGCTTTCCTGCTCCTCTAATGCCTGGCCTGCTGTGTTCATTCAGCTCTACACCTTGTTATCTCAGACTCCAGCATCAGCAGTTCCTACTATCTCCCAGCACAGAAACAGACCCTTTGGCCCACCATATCTGTGTCAATCACGATGCCATTCTAAATCCCATCTGCCTGCACATGGTCTGTATCCTTTTATTACCTGCCTGTTCATGTGTTTGTCTAAATGCCTCTTAAACTTTGCATTCTATCTGCTTCTACTACCTCCCCTGGCAGCGCATTCCAGGCACCTGTCACCCTCTGCATGAAAAAACCTTCCTCTTATATTTCCTTTAAACTTTTCCCCACTTACCTTAAACCTAAGTCCCCTAATATTTGACATTTCCACCCTGGTAAAAGGACTCTGATTATATATCCTATCCATGATTATCTACTATCAGGTCCCCTGCCCACCCCCACCTCAGCCTCCGACGCTCTAATGAAAACAATCCAAGTTTATCTGACCTCTCCTTATGGCTAGAACACTATAATTCAGGCAACATCCTGGTAAACTTCTTTTGCACTTCTCCAAAGCCTTCACATCCTTCCTATAGTGTGGTGACCAAAACTATACACAATACTCCATATGTGGCTAAATTAAAGCCTTATGCAGCTGAAACATGACTTACCAACTTTTATACTAAATGTCCCAACTGATGAAGCAAGCATGCCCACTGCCTTCTTTACCAGCTTATCCACTTGAGTTGCCTCTTACAGGGAGCAATGAACTTTGACCCACAAATCCCTCTGTATATCAATGCTCCTAAGAGCGTTTCGTGGCCTATTCTGACCCTTCTAAATTCTTATTTAAGTTCAGCTTCTTTTGTACTTTTCAAGGGTCCTGTTTGATTTCAGTTTCCTAAACCTTATATACCTGTATGCCTCCATTTTGACTAAATTTCCAAAATCTCTTGTCATCCAAGTTTCCCTAATCTTGCCATCTTTATCTTTCATCCTCACAGGAACATGCTGGTCCTGAATCCTGAATAACAGACCTTTAAAAGACTCCCACATGTCAGATGTGGATTTACCCTCAAACAGCCACCTCCCAATCTAAGTTTTCCAGTTCCTGCCTAATACTTTTCTAATTAGCCTTCACCCAGTTTAGCACTTTCACCCGAGGACTGTTCTTATCGTTATCCATAACTCCCTTAGAACTTACAAAATTATGATCACTGTTCCCAAAATGCTTCCCCACTAAAACTGCAATCTCCTGGCCAGGCTCATTCCCCAATACAAGGTCTAGTACAGCCCCTTTCCTAGTTGAACTGTCTACATACTGTTTCAAAAAACCCTCCTGGATGCACCGAACAAATTCTGCCCTATCTAAGTCCCTGACACTAAGGGAGTCACAATCAATATTGGGGAAGTTAAAATCACCCACTATAAACAACCCTGTTGAAATTTTACACCATTCCATGATCAATTTACATGATCTGTTTCTCTATCTTCCTCTGGCTATTGGCATGCCTACAGTATAAGCCCCTCATACTAATTGCACCTTTCTTATTCCTCAGTTCTACCCACATGGTTTCCAATGAACCTTCCAAGATGTCCTCTCTTAGTGCAGCTGTGATTCTCTTCTTAATCAGTAATGCAACTCCCCCACTCCCCTTACATCCCTCTCTATCATGTCTGAAACATTTAAACAATGGAACATTGAGATGCCAGCCTTGTCATTCTCTCATCCAAGTTTCTGTAATGGTTACCGTGTCGTAGTCCCATGTACTAATTCAGGCTTTAAGCTCATCTGCCTTAACTGTTGAAACCCTTGTATTAACATAAATATACGTCCAACTGCCAGTCTCACAGTGTTCATTAACCTGGCCCTGCCAATTCTTCCTATTAGACTTTTTTGACGTAACATTGACCTTCTGCTCAATCACTCCAATGCTGTCCTAGTGCTCTGTTTGCCACCTTCAGGCATTGGAGTATTAGTCTACATTGTATTGCCATGACCTGAAGAGAGGATTGAAATCAGTGTTCTCAATAGAAGGAAAAGAGTGCTATAAAATGATTCCTACTGATGCAAAATGAACCTTGCAATCATACTCAAATAAAACTGATTGCTTTATTATAGGGTTTAATGTGCTTGAGTGCAACTTGAACATAATTTCCTGTCAAAATAACATTAAAAAATCCAAAACTTATTTATTTAATTTATTAGCTATTCTTGTCCAGCTAGAATCAAGCCTGCTTATCTGACTCGGGGTTACTTGTCAAATGAAGATGATAAATATTATTGTCTTGGAGACAATAAGGACTGCAGTTGCTGAAAGCCAGAGTCTATAGGTGTGAGGCTGGAAATGCATAGCAGGTCAGATAGCATCAGAGGAGCAGGAAAGTCAACGTTTTGAGCCAAAACCCTTCGTCAGGACTGGGGAGAGGAAGGGGAGCCCAGAAATAAATAGAGGGAGGGGGCTGTAGGCTGGGGGAAGGGTAGGAGAGATGGTGATGGGTGTAGGTAGGGGGTTATTCTAATTAGTCAATGGGAAGGGTGGAG